TATGCAAAATTGTGAACCTAGGTATATTGTATTCTGGTGCTTTTCGAGCTACTTGCTTTACACTTGGGCGTTCTGTCGCCTTGCGATGTCCGCTTCGGGCCATGGCACGAAATCCCGCGTAATGAGTGTCAATATTGTCTCCTAAACTTGATAAATATATATATATTTTTTGTGAGGTTCTATTGTCTGCTTGAGGTTCTTCCATAATTGCATGAATCAAAATATTATTTGATGGAGTTTGAGAGAGTTCGGCCCTTACAAATCAGCTGCGGTATTTATAAACCACATGAATTACAGTTTGATCACCTGTGCAACGATAAGTCATGTGTACTTCCATGAAGTCTAAGTCGCAATCATCGTCCACATCACTTTGAACACCAAGTCACTCGACTTCGAATTCATTGCACAATTCACCCATCTCAATAGCTTGGCGAGCTTCTCAACCCAACTCCTCGATCTTGGATGTCGCATCAACTCCAATGCAGCCATATTTCACAACAGCGCTGTTGGCCACCACAGCCTCTGGCTGCGTGCTCTTGCAGGCAACACTGTAGGGTGACAAAGTTGGTGCTGAGTAGCGGAGTCAACTGCGTCCTATGTTTTCTCTATCGACTTGACAATGCCGTCAATTCAGCGACAACAACTTCACAAACAATAAGAAAAATAGCACACGTGGGAGAGCTCCCTCAGGAAGTCCGAGCGGTACTGGGTTCAATCCATGATGTCGAAGTACAATCCATGATGTCGAAGTACATCTCCAGTGAACTTGGAAAAAACTCGCAAGTGTTGTACTAGCGAATATTCTGAAGTTGTGTGTAAAATGTTCATAGATGATGACACCTATCTAATTCTGACATGAGTCCACTGTTGGCCAACAGAATTTGGAAAATATGCAATTTTTAAATAAATGACGAGGACGAGACTCGAACCCTCGCCAATTGAATTGACAGCACCCCAAAGTTGAAAGGAAGGACAGTACGAGGACACCTCCACGCCAAATTATTCGGGTAAGCTTTCGAAATGTTAGTTGACTTTGTCAAAGTAGCACATTGCGTGCGAGCAGTGAAGGATTAGCATGGGGGTCTCCATCGGGATAATGCGACATTTTGAATGTAGAACCTGTGTGATGCCCATACATTCATCGATACATTTTTATTCAAGAGTATTTTAATTGCAATTGAATGTAACGTGTTAGAACGGTAATTGTTATTAGGAGTATGAGCTGTGCAGTACTGTCTTCCTCGCTCATCCACGTTTACCACTTCGAACGAGAGGTATGCGCTCGATGGCACAAATCGCATTCGCGCTGAGTGTGCATTATTCGTACGCATGGAGGAGCTGAACCCATGCTTTAACTGTGTAACGCCGTTGAGCGCGCTGCGGGAGGACCTGTTCCAGGCATGTCAGAGGATGAAATTGACATCAACCAATCAGAGTACGCCATTTCATGTTATATATTTGTCCAATCTTTGATTGAGATGATGCATGAACCAATCAGAGATCACGAAAAACGCCGAAGGATATTTAGCCAATCATGGGCTAAGACGCTATTTTGCTTCCGGTATTGTGTGTGAACGTACCCCGCTGCAAAATAATTTCATGGTGGTACAACGCTTGCGCGTTTTTGGCATGTGGACTGTACGACATGCTACTAAGTCAGCGTGCACTGGAACCACAGTCCTTTGTGGAATCCGACTGGGCCTTACAGAATGATCTAGTTTCTACTAATCATCATGGATGTAGCTCCTCGATGTGCATGCAGCTTGAACATATTATGTCAGTCGCGCCATCACGTCGCGACGGGGATACTGCCCTCATTTGTTGCTGGCGCAAGCGCGGCGTATGCAGAGTGAACTGATCGCTGCTTTTACAAATTGCAAGAAAACTTGCCTTACCGTCGCTCGGTGTATTCATGGAACAAAATTGTGCGGAAGAACCTTTGGAGACAGATTTCCGACGTTGTTTGTACGGTACAGTTACAGCCAAGTTGGTGGACGCAGTGGCGATGGCCGAGGCGGCAGGGTGGAATACACCGTCGACGGCACTGGGGGACATCAAATCGTCTGTCTCCACCTCCATGTTCTTGGAAAACAATTCACAGCATCAGTTTATAGGTGGTGAGTGGTGAGCATCCACACCTGTCTCATGCGTACATGTATTGCCTGGTACCTGTTTCCCTTCCTTGCTGAGGCTTACCTTATGGTTAGACTAGTCTACCTGGGTACGCCGAACTCCTCCTCGCCTGGGGACACCAGGTAAATCCACACTCTAGTGCGCAACCAGCGTGCGGTGAAAGTGAATAGCACAGCCCACTCGCTATGCGACCTCAAGGCAGCATCAACACCTGCCATCAGATCCATTCAAATCTACATTCTATTGCGAAACCAGCTTGCTTTGACAGTGAATTGCTCAGCCCACTCGCTATGCGACCTTAAGGCAGCACAAACAGATGCCATCAGATTCATTCAGATCCACATCCTAGTGCGCAACCAGCTTGCGATGAAAATGAATTGCTCGCTCGCTATGCGACCTTATGGCAGCACCAACAGATGCCATCAGATCTTTTCAAATCAACTCTCCCATGTTACCCGCCGGTCATATAATCGACTGCTTCCGATGCCTTGTGTGGATGATTTACTCGTAGCACTGCTCACTGTTAGCACTATATGTATTGCACCTGTTGGCAAGATAACCTGGTCGGAACGACGCGAGTGTCGCGAAAGCGAGTGGCGCAACTTCAACTCGTCCATCGCCAGCTCACTTTGAAATTTGCCTTCCTTCTAACACTCTTCTCGCTATGAAGTATGCTTTGGTCTGCATGCTCATCCTCGCCGCTGTCGCCTACGTCGCCGCCGAAAATGAACCCGTCCCTGCCGGGGTTGTCGTGTACGTCCATGCTCACGCTGTGTCGGCCCCTGCTGAGTCAATCGCCGTCGAATCAGCCGAAGCCACGAGCCCTGACGACATTGTCCAGGACTTTGAGAAGCTCGTGCGCACCGGAATGAAAGACTTGAAGACGATCGCGAGCTTGGTCCAGTTGATTCGAACCATCGCCACAACGGGCCTCAACGCCGACAACGGCAAGCAATTCGTTGCGGCCATTCAAAAAGCCATCCAAATTGGCGATCTCCGCGGAAAGGACGGCAAGGACCTAGTGAAGGACATCAAGGCCATCGTCGTCCGTGGACAAGTCGACGGTCCCAAAGTGGTCGCTGACATCATGAAGGTCCTCGAAGACGGGATGAAGACTGCGACGGTCGCCGATCTCATCAGTGACCTACAAAAAGTTATTCAAAATGCCAGCAAGGACGTCACGACGACCCTCAATTTGGTCAAGCAGATCCAATCGATCCAACGCAACGGACTCAACGTCGTCAACGGGGCGCAGTTGGTGCTCGACATTCGAACGGCCATTTCGGCTGGCATCTTGCACGTCAAGGACGGCGCTAACCTTGTCCGTACGATCGAAGACATTGTGAAGAATGGCATGTCGTTGAAAGATGGCGCCCTTGTCGTGGAAGCAATCCAGAAAGCGCTTGAAGCCGCACTTACCCCGTTTGACCCGCTCCCAAGGATCTGTCGTCGCAAGGGTGTTGGGCGCGGTGTGGGCACTGTTTTAGAAAACCAGTGCAAGGAGGGCGAAGAAGCGTACGGGGCCTTGTGCTACCCGACGTGCATGGAAGGGTACGAGAAGATCGGGTGCTGCATCTGCCGCAAGAAGGGCTGCAGCGGTGCCAAGGGCGTCACGGATATTGGCGTGTCGTGCACAAAGCCCGCCGCGTACGGCCGCGGCGTCGGCTACGCCCTGTGGCAAGAAGACAAGTGCAAGAAGGAGAACGGCGGTAGGTGCGAGAAAAATGGCTTGATGTGGTACCCCCAGTGCCGCACGGATTTCCACCCTGTCGGGTGCTGCATCTGCTCGCCGAATTGCCCTGCTGGTACGACCGACGATGGCGCGTTCTGCCGCAAGAGCTCATATGGCGTCGGTGTCGGTGTGTCTCGCTTGGGATGCCCCGCTGACAAGGAACAGAGTGGTGCGTTATGCTACCGACCTTGCGCCACTTCCTTTATCGGCATCGGCCCCGTGTGCTGGTCGCAATGCTCTGGCGATACTCCGTTCAAGTGTGGCCTCTTTTGCACGTCGTCGGCTGCAACTTGCTCTTCGTCGACTGTTCAAATTATTGGCTCAGCTATCAAGGTCGCCTTGAGTCTATTCAACGAGGACTACCCCGGCGCTGCGGTGGGTGTTGCCGAAGGTGGCAAAAAGATCATCACGATCTCGCAATGCTCGTAACACTATGCTGCCTTGACCGACCGGGCCAGCATGATGGGCCACGCCAGAGCTGACACAGCGTCGCGGAGGCGCTTGCATTTGTATGTGTACAACTTGGATGGATTGGTGTAAAATGTATCTTGTATTGCAACGGACACCATCGAGTTAGAAGCGCACTTCGGGAATCATTTGGCTGTACAACACATCAGACGGAGACTCGACGGCTACGACAGAGCCACTAAGTACGTCGCAGTCCCAAAGCGCGACACATCTTTGATCACGCTTCAAGTTATCGACAGAGACGCCATCACATGCAGCCTGAGCTGTGGGGAGGCTGCCACGTTATCTATTCAACGTCGCCTGTGTGACGGTAACCGCTCCTTCTTCGATATGTGACCAAGGCTCAGGTGGGTTCTGTGCATTTGACAGCATATGATGAGATGGCGCTGTGGCAGTATGGTGTGATATTGTCGCCATCGTCTCTGCATCATGATCAGCGGCTTCGTTGATTCTGAATTTCCGTCGTGTATCGATTTCGTGGGCTATGATGGACTCGACGTTCGATTTCCGAGATAATTTTACTTTGTAGGCAGAACTGGCTCTCTTGTTCTTCTCTGTAGGCAGCACCATCATAAAATTCGATTTAACATTTGACGCACAGGTTGCAATATACGATATGGGGTCGCTCAATTTGGTACTCCGAGCAGATACATTGTTTGTAAAACGAGATATGCATGGACTCGTCGGGTCTCATATCCCCCTTTCATTGCGAATGGATCCACCTGAGTCCCTACATGCGTCCCCGAGTTTGGTTTCGACATGCGTTGGAGCCGCGAATGATCTCGGGTGCCCATCTTGGACTCTCAAGCGCCAACTCGTGGGCGATTCATAGAGTTACCTGACGCACAATGTGATGCATGTTCTCCGTGCGACCTGCAGTGTGCCCGCGTCATTGGCGATTATCGTGGTGTTGCCCGCGCCAAGAAGTTCCGCGAAGATCGTGACTTGCATCTTTGCATTGTTGATGTCTACCAGCGAAGGCGTAGCGTCGCTGAAGGACGAGCTTCAAGTTAGTTATGCATACGCCAGCAGGAAGAACAACTGAACATAGGAATGGAGCTTTATAAACAACATCAATTCACTTCTCGAATTGCCTCCTTGTGTTGAGACGCTTGCTAATCGCTTGCTGCCGGTAACCATCTGTCTGGCTGTCGTCCTACACACAGCCACACGCATTAGTTCAAGAGCAACTCTACCGCTACGCCAGCAGTACGAAGAGAAGGAGCTTAAGTTGGAACGGGTCACAAACACAGGTCCCACCGCGGCCTTGTCGCGGATGATGCGTGATTGAGAGATGCATTATGCGTCAAATTCTCAGTTCCATGGTGTCGGTGCCATCAGCGCGTGTCTGTACTCGCTGCACGGGTTTCTCGCAACGTTGTCCAGGTCGTGATCTAGGGGGATGAGACTACATCGTGGATTGATGTCGATTAAACGCCTAACAGCGTGGTCGGACAGGTGCTGCGACGCCTTGCCCAGCGTCCCGGCCGTGTCGATCATGGCGTCAACAATGAGGCAGTTCAACCCACTGGCGTTCCCAACCAAGTACATGCGGTCAATTTCGTTCGCCTTGATGGGTTGTTTGATAATCATGGCAAGACCAACGACTTCAATGCCTCCTTTCGTCACCTAGTTCTTCGTTTCCGGATCCGGATGCCTTGTCTTCCGTGAGCTTGGGAAACTTCAACAGTTGCTTGTGGGCATCACCAAGACATATGACGTGCGGGATATCGCCAAAGTGGCCGGTGACGTGTCGTCGAATGCCTTGTCGATCTGTAACACGTTTGAAAAGCTCGGCGTGGAGGACATGCGCATCCTTAACCACTTGCACGAGCCTGCCGTGTTGAAGAAGCTGCAACTCCGCCACGGACAATTCAGCCATCGGTAAGTCCAAAGTGTACTTTAGCTCCTGGCTGTTGCAGCATTTGGAAGACCAGCGCGCCGTTGTCTTGCGGACCCAGGTACGATCTTGTTTCAGACCCGCGTTCGCGGGTGGGTGGCCGGCCGCAAGTTCCGTGTCGCGTTGGCCAAGGAACGCCAGCGCGTCCCCGAGACCAAGACCCAAGCAAATGCGAAAGCACCAGCGGAAGCGGCTGCAAGGTCAGAAGACAAGAAAAGGTTCGGGCCTGCACAAAGCCGACGCTTCACGCCTCCAATCAAACCAAGCAGATGAAGATGAGCCAGTCGACACCAGCTCCGAAGGCAGCGACGGAGAACGCATGTCTTCAGGGTTACAGAGCACTCTGGCGTCTGCGGCCGCCCGTGTCGCCGAAGCCGCCGTTGTGGAGACCTAAAAGGCCGCCATGGCGGCACTCACGCACAATCGAGTCATCCAAGCCGAGAACGAGGCGCTGCGGCCAACATGGCGGCGTATATCGCCGAACACGCGGCGCCGAACTGCTGCGCGAAACCGAACGGCTCAAGTACCAAGTCCTTACGTTGCAGAGCAAGCTGGTGTGGGCGCAGGAAGTGTCGTTGGTGTCGGCCAAGGTTGTCGACAGTCGGTTGACATTCCGCGAAGGCCGGCAGCTTGTACTCGACAGTGGCATCGATACAAGACGTTTTGAATATTTGGGACGACGCTCCAAACCAAGAACGGGTTCCGCCGCAAGGACATCCCGGACTTGCCCAACAAGCAACTGTTTGGGTCGGACAGATCGATCCAAGTACGTATCGACAAGCTGAACCAGTTCCTTGAAGCGGCGACCAACACGGACTGCTTGCCGTGGGGCGTCCGCGTCGACCAGGACAAGTATGTGTACAAGTGCCGCACGCGGAGCTCGTCTTGCGCTGAACGAGACTCCATGTCGGTGCGTACTGTAGAATAGATGTGGGAGACAGCATGGTGTCAACCGTCGTGTCGTCATCGGATATGCAGTCTCCGCGCACCTCGTCTCGACAGTCTGTGTCGTTGCGTGAATCGATCGTTGGTGGACGCAAGTCGTAAAACAAAACTTTATGTGGGCACGTATCGTTTTAATCAAGGCAAAGTAGCCGTCCTCCGGGTCGTACTCGGCACCGTCCGCGACGTACCGCACTTCCACTTGCGTG